AAAAGATTTTGACGGCATTAAATCAACATATTAATATTTCTTTTAACAGCGCCAGCATTGGCTATGCGATCTGCTTCTACTCGTACTCCACCTGGCAAGGACGTTCACTCTTTCTTGAGGATCTCTATGTACGTCCGGCTTATCGTAAGCAGGGAACCGGTGCGCGAATGTTTCGGGAGGTAGCAGCAATTGCGGTTCGACAGGGCTGCCGGCGATTGGACTTCCATGTGCTCAGCTGGAATCCGGCATGTGAATTCTATAATCGTCTAGGCGCAACGAATTTAACCAAGTCGGAGAGTTGGCAATTTTACCGCGTAGGGGAACAACAATTGGCCAAGCTAGCTGAAGAATTAAAGAGTTAACGAGCTGGAAGTTCTATGATCTGTCTATTATGTTGGCCTTATTGACAATAAATAATACTTTGCTAAATTAATTTGGCTATTCACTGGTCACCGCTGACGCTGGCTATGACATGGATCTGCATGCTTTTGGTTGAGTTGTACACCTGRCCGGGTGGAAAGGGATGCACCCTGGAATGGGCATCGGCTTTATTCTTGCCACCCGCTGTATACTTAGACAGTCGTATGCTGGGCATGGGCAGAAAGCCAGTACTTAGTGGCATAACATCCAGCGATATAGAATGACAGTCCACATCCTTCATGGATACGACGCCTGAAATATTGTTAAATTTATTAGAAGGGAATTGAATCCACAAAAATAAAAATAGGATGTGTAAGCGTGAATTTGTTGTCTTTCAAATGAACCAATTAATTGCCTAACTACTTGAACGGCAAAATTCGGTCAGACCGAAGTATTTACTAAGAACATCTAAAMGCCTTTATATAACATATTAATAATTATTTTTAATCATAGCTAAGAAACCTGAAGAACATATATTTGCATGTCAAGTATTTATCATTATAACGTCTTATTTTGAATTAACAGTATTCGGCAGTTAGCTTTAACAGAGTTTTGTTATCGTGCCTTAAGGTCTTAACATTTTGTAGATTGATTGATTAGTGCTATTTGAAAGCCTTTAGATGCTCGATTACTTCTGAAGGATTTACGTTGGATAAATATTCCTAATTGATTGCAACTACGAGTGTTCATAAACCAAAAACTTACCCATGTCTTTATATGCATTAAAAAGTGTATTTTATGTGTCAAGAAATTAGAAATAAATAATAAGCAAATGGGATATTCCTGTTAAAGTGGAAAAATAACGACTTACCAGCGGATCGACCACATACGGCCCACAGATTCTGATCGTTAAGCACCTCGTACATGAGATCGACATATGGATTCTCATTGATCTTGGTTATCTTTATATTCAGGTTGCAAACAGTGCGCAGGCGACAGAGTTCGTTCGGCTCCAGCTGTGCCTGCAGCTTGAAGAGCGTTGAATAGTCGACCAGATCGAAGGCACAGCCATAATTACGCCAGATTTGTGGCTGCGCTGGAGTTGCGTACTTGACCACAAAGTGCACCTTGACAATGGGCAGTTCGTGTTCTGCTTTCAACGGCTCTACTTGTATCTCATATAGGTAGGTAACCGTCAAAGACTTATAAATTTCCTACAAGTGCGAGAAAAGGTTAATATGGAGCTCTACAAGTTTTTTGTTCACTTACGATTGGTGCTTGCGATTCAGGATTGAGATCGATGAGACGTACGCCGGCCACGTCACACTTCACCTTGGCATGTTGCAGCAATAGCCGTGCATCCAAACCCTTCATAATTACCTGTAGGAACTTTTGCGTACCGCACGTGTGAAGCCGGCAAGTTGCCTCCATGGCGGGCTGAAAGTCAATTGGGATTTGTAGATCAGTGCGCGACCAAGGGCAACTGAGCGTGATGTGATGTTCATGGTGTTTAGATAGTTTACGGCCAGGCATATCGGTAAGCACCTCGAGCGGTATGCGACGCTCCTCGAAAGATTTGAATTGAAGCAAGGGCAATTGCAAAACATTCTCGAAGCCGGCGTCGCTATTACTCAGCGCCGTCTCATCGGATTTGAGGGCCTGGCGTATCCGTAAATTCTTCGAGCATCGCAACGTGATCTGCGCATCTGGTGGAAAGATGAAACTGCCACCAGACACATTCAAATAAATGGGCTGGACAATACCCGCAATTAGTGTCTTGAATTCTAGCGAGGCGCTTGCCGGCTTGGTGCAAATCTCGAAACTCGGCGGCTGCGAATTCAACGGCAACTGCTCCGAGAGGAACTCCAGACTTGACATGGTAATACACAATTGCTTAAACTGCCAACGTCCAACGCGCGTTGCCTTGCCCTTAAGCTCGACGAGATTAATGCCCGGCTGGAGGGCAATATTCGTAGTCTGCACGACGTTGGTGAAGTCCGCCTGAACACTGGGCGACAGCTTGCGCTTGGTGCTGCTGGTCCGTCGCACAGGCTGTTTCGTCTTCGGCGTGTCACATACGACCGAGGCACAGTTGAGCGTATTGTCCTGCTTATGGAAGAGCTGCAAAGTGACCTTCAGCCGCGATGCACAATCCTTCCCAAGAGCCACTTCCTGCAGGCCCGTCTCCAAATCGTTACTTAGATGCAGCTCATAGCAAAGTTTCATGCAATCAACTACGATCTCTCGGGGATATAGACTTTCCAGCCTCAGTTGCACCAGCAGGTGGTCATCTTGTATAATTGGCTTCGTATTAAGCACTTCGATGTCTAGTATGCGAAAATGATCCTCCAGCACACAGTAGTTGGCATTCTCAATGGATGGCTGTGCCGATAGGGTGGTGTCCAGCGATTTCAATGACTTCAGGAACTCATCAAAGTAAAAGGTGCGTACGAGAATCTCCAGTTCGGCACAGCAGGATATGGAACTGCAGGTTTTGGTATAAGCCAGCGAATCGCCCATCTTACGATAACAGTTGGCCAGCTCTAGCAATGTCTGTGAGCTAAGCATATGCCAGTTCTCTGCCTTCAATTCTCGTAGCAAATCCGTAAAGAAACCCACTGCTTTGTGAGGTTCATTCAAAGCGCAGTAGAATTTGCCCAGATCGAGACCAACCAACCGCGCAGATCTTAGGCGCGTCACGTGTTTATAGGTGCTGATAGCCAGCTCCGCCAACTCTAGGTAGAGCTTTTGGAAGGTTTGATTGGAGCCCAAGGCCTCTTTGAGCTGTTGTGCCGCCGACAGCTTAGGCTTTCGATTCGGCGAACGATCACGCAGTTGTGGCATAGCCTGTAGGAATTGTTGCTGCTGTTGTGGGGGTGCATCACCAATGCCTGATGAAAGCTGCACCACAATATGCAATTGCTCCGAACTGGGTGTACAGCCTGGCAATAAACCGCAGAGTTTACCCAGCTCATACAATTTGTCCTTGGCCAGATTCCATATGGGAGCGCAGTGCTGGAAGCACGTCACTTCATTAGGTTCCATCGCCTGTTCGCAGAGCTGCAACACTTCCAGAGCACAGACAAACTCCCAACAGCTCAGCGCACCCTCCTGGCAGTCTAACTTGATAAATTCCACCTCACGCAACGTAGAGAAAAGAAACCCTAATAGACGTTTCGCTATCTCCGGTATTTCATTGCAAGTGAGCAATAGGTAAGCTTGTCGCTCAAACAAATARTTGCGGAACTCTAAAAGGGAGACCCCTTCATTCCGTATTTTCTGACGCATCTCAAATTTGTCCACGCGGCTCAGGCAGATGCCATGGAAAGCTGTAAGCGGACGCTTAAAATATGCCAGCCACTGTTGCTTCTCATTGAATCCCGTGTGCGTGATGAACTGTGAGAACATGGCATCCAGCTCATCATATTGTATTAGGGCCTCTGTTGGTAGCTCTAATTTCTCAAATATGAGTGCCAGATCCTCCTGCATAAAGAAATATTGACGAAAGTCCCAATCATCATGATTACGTTTCTCTCGTTTACTCCGTATTAACTCCTCATATTTGGCAATGTTGCGATTGTAGCTGGTGAGCATTAGGAAACGGATGCGCTGCACCAAGCATCGAAAAGATTCCGTTGATTTTTGTTCAAATTTAGCTGGATTCAATACGGAAATGCAACGATCATCGTTTTTACTGCCGAAATCCAAACGTATTTTATCCAGCACCGTTGTTCGAGGCAATAAGTTCTTAGTTTTCCGCATGTCCAGCGTCTCCACCAATAGGATCATCCAATCAGATATGCCATARCTGGACAATAGTTTAAGCCACGAATCTATTTCCTCTCTTATCGTTGCTTTGTATGTGTCAATGTCCTAAGATAAAAATATAAAAGTGTTTACTACTGTTTTTCTTATTTTCCCGCCCCATAAACATCCCCAATGCACACACTCACACCCACATATCCACTTACATTACATTCGGTCACAAATATGTGCAATATGGGATGTTCAAGTATGCTCCAATCGCCCTTTTTATATCGCTCCAGTGGTTCGACACTGAACTGCTGGGTTTGAGCCTCCAAGCGAACATGTTTGGTTGGTCTTTGGAAGGTGCGTCGCCATTCGCAGGTATCCAATGGGATTGCATTTAGTATTTGCGCTTCAAGGGATCGAAAAAGCGGAAATGAGCCAGAATCTGAAAACATTCACATTTTATATCAAATTAACCAACTGTATTACTAACGCACTCTACTTACAGGTTATAATTGGCTTTATCTGCATTCTTAACTCAATTTATAAATAGTTTATTTTCATTTGGGGACAGCACAAAGCAAACAGTCAACGTACAACACGATAACAGCTGATATCGCTGCAAATGCAACATATGTTTTTGGCATGAATTTTAACATTTCGCTTAATGTTATTTACAACTAACAGAGGCAGAACAGCATTTATTTCATTTAGAAATACAATATATAATTTATATAAAATAATTTCCATATTTTACTTACAAGTATGGGTTGATTAAAAACGATATTATTACCCAACTAAATAGGACGACCACATAGCAGCCAAAATTGATAAAATTTGATTAACAGCTACTTTTTATTTTATATCGATAGTAAAAATTCATCGAACAGCTGAAAGCGGGCGAAAGCTGAGGTGTTGCTAGAAACAATGCAGTACTAATTAAAAAAGACATTTGAGTTTTACAAGTAAATAATAAAAAAACACAATATTTATTTAGATAGCTTAATGTTTAAGTGCACAGACAATTAATAGTTACGGAATATGGATATGGCCAGAAGCATTTTTGGTCGAGACCACGAGGGTTACGTGGGCCGTGAAGAACATACGGTAACAATTCAATTGAGATGATAGATTGCTTATCAATCTAATTAAAATTGCTCATTTTCCACGCTACCAATACAGCGTAAAATGCAGACCTTGAGCACTGACGATGATGTAGGTGAGCTGCCAGTCATGATGGAAGAACTGAGTGTCGCAGATGGCTTGCGTCCAAGTCCTGGTGGACCCTTTTCAGCCTTGACGCCTTCAATGTGGCCACAGGAACTGCTCGCTAAGCTGGGTGGCGAATCGGAACTGGCTGCAGCGGGGCCCAACGACCAGCCCGACTACCGATTCGATGAGTTCGGCTTTCGCGTTGAGGAAGAGGATGGCCCCGAACAAAGCTCAAATAAACTGCTCAGCATACCTTTTGTGGAAGATGCACAGCAACGGTTGCAGTGGATCGCACACCTCGAGTTTGCCCACAACAAGGAAATCAACGAACTGAGCTGGGAGCATGTCGACCAACTATTGCAACGCACCGAAAAGCTTCGCAAAATGGTGCAGAATGGCATTCCACACAGTCTGCGGCCACAAATGTGGATGCGACTATCCGGTGCGCTCTCCAAAAAGCAAAAAAGCGAAACTAGCTATCAGGAAATAGTCAAGGGTAAGTATGCAATGCGTAAGACAAATAAACAGCTTAATATATGTTCTCCAACTTCACAGCTTCCAGCAACGATCAGTTAATGACTTCGAAGCAAATTGAAAAGGATCTACTRCGTATCCTGCCCACAAATGCGTGCTTTAGTCATCCAAACGGAACGGGCATTCCACGATTGCGTCGCATCCTGCGCGGCATTGCGTGGCTTTTTCCGGACATAGGTTACTGCCAGGGCACCGGAGTTATTGTTGCCTGCCTGCTGCTGTTCATGGAGGAGGAGAATGCATTTTGGATGATGGTCACTATTGTTGAGGATCTCCTCCCGGCATCGTACTACAGCTCAACATTGCTTGGCATTCAAGCGGATCAGCGTGTGATGCAAACATTAATAGCCAACTACTTATCCAGCGTGGATGATACGCTCAAGCGTCACGACATCGATCTGTCGTTAATAACACTTCACTGGTTCCTTACCCTGTTCGCGAATGTGGTGCATATGAAGATATTGGTGCGGATTTGGGACTGGTTCTTTTACGAGGGCTCCATTGTACTATTCCAGCTGACGCTCGGTATGCTAAAAGTGAAGGAACAGGATCTYAAGCATCTGGAAAACTCTGCCCAAATCTTTAATTCGCTCTCAATGTGCTGCGAAGTGGATGACGTAGAAGTGCTGTTCCGGCAAGCTCTCGAAGTGGGTGGCTCGTTGAGCCAGACCGTAATCGACACGCATCGGCGTCGTCATCTGGCCTATTTGATGGCAGATCAGGGTCATCAGATAGGCAATCCAGAGGTGGCAGCCAATTTGCCTAAGCAGCATCTGTCCAGGCGGCAAGTGCGGAAAAGTAAATCCATACTAGAAGCATTTCTATTTCGCGGCGACCCTGAATCAGATCAACTGAAAAACAAAAACATACGCCAGACCGAAATACTAGTAGATCTGCGCGAAGCAATCCTGAAGGTGGGTCGTCACTTCATCACYATCGAACCAAAACTGGCAGGACATATTCAACTAACGGCAAACTACAGCAGCGAATCCCATGCCAAGGATCACGAGAACTTCATTAATGTTGCTCGCACACGTAAGCGCCGGGCTAAGGCTTTGCATGACTTTGAGCGGCATGATGACGATGAGCTGGGCTTCAGGCGGAACGATATAATCACCATCATCAGCCAGAAGGACGAGCATTGCTGGGTGGGAGAGCTAAATGGACTGCGTGGCTGGTTTCCAGCGAAGTTCGTGCAGCTGCTGGATGAACGCAGCAAGCTGTATACCTCTGCTGGCGATGATGCTATCTCGGAAACGGTTACAGATCTTGTCCGTGGTACTCTGGCACCAGCTATTAAAGCATTCCTCGAACATGGCATGAAGCGACCCACATTCCTAGGGGGTCCAATACATCCGTGGCTGTTCATTGAAGAAGTTTCCTCCCTGGAGGTGGAAAAGGATTTTAAGTCTGTGTACAGCCGTTTGGTTCTCTGTAAAACGTATCGCCTTGATGAAGATGGCAAGGTGTTGACACCCGAGGAATTGCTCTATCGCTGCGTGCAAGCGGTCAATCAATCACATGACAATGCACATGCCCAAATGGATGTCAAACTGCGCTCCCTCATCTGTTTAGGCCTCAACGAGCAGGTTCTACATCTGTGGCTAGAGGTGCTCTGCGCGTGTCAGGAGGTTGTGCAGAAGTGGTATCACTCCTGGAGTTTCATAGATTCGCCAGGTTGGGTGCAAATTAAATGCGAATTGCGCATACTCTCACAGTTTGCCTTTAATCTAAACCCCGACTGGGAGTTGCCACCAAAGCGCGGCAAGGAATCGCAGCCACTTAAAGATGGTGTGCGCGACATGCTTGTTAAGCATCATTTATTCTCTTGGGACCTATGAATCCGGCTGATCTGAGGAAATACGTTGCATAGCTTTCTACATCCTTTTTATATAAATTTGCATAGCGCTCTTCATTAAGTATGTACAATCATGCACGTTGCCTAAACCTCCTAAGTATTTAATCTGAACAAAAAATCTAAGCAGGAACTATGCTTTAATATCTCATTGTTTTAGCTATTGTGCAATCTTTTTTAAGAAACTTTAATCTTCGGTTAGCCGAAGCATCATATCCTTGCAGATTCAGTGTAGATAACATCTAACAAAATATGCATTGCAAAGATATAAAATTAGCTTGTTATAAACTTTGCTGTACGCTTATCATTAAGTTAAGGTATATTTGCTTATAAATATAAATGTAGTTCTTGCTATTTAATTAATTAAAATTATATCCATCCATATTTTTAGCTCCCACACAAAAAGAGAAAACAGCACACAGAATTGTACTAAATTACAAAATAATGTACCTTTGAATTTAAATCAAATCTTATAAGTATTTATGATATATATACACCTAAATATTTAAAAATCTTAAATGCATTTCATTAAAGTTTAATATATATATATACATATATATAGAAATTGTACACTAGTTGACTTCTTAATTGCAGACCAAACCCAAATAATCATCCATCAAAGTTCCTATAGCAAACTGTTGGAAGGGGATTAGATATCACAATTAGAAGAACATGAGGATTTTAATCAACTTACAATGCCAGTAGCGTCCACACGCGTACCCACAATCTTTAGACGTATTTTATCCTCACCAGAAATGACGACGTCTTCGTCTTTGGACTTGTAGCAAGGCGGGTTTCCATTTGGACAGAATTGCATGTCAGCGGGAATGGACTGAAAAAAATGTACAGCTGTTATTCACATTTGAACTGCAAATAAAACTTGAAACAGCTTACATGGTGTGATATAAAGCATGACAATGGTCCGATTTCCGCAAACATGCCGACTTTATTTATCTGCTTAACAACGGCATCGAGGACTTCTCCTTTGAATGGCCGGAACACAATAGCCTTATATTTCACTGGATATACAACAAAACCTTGACCAGGCTGTATCACTCCAGACCCAATGAGGTCTATTGTTGTGACTGCAATCACGAAACCATATTTGCCCGTACACGTTCCTTCCACCTCCGAGTAGAGCTTCTGCTTCACCGTTTCCAGCAATTGGGGCCCAAAGTAGCGTGGATGCAGAAGAATCTCGTGCTCGAGCGATATCTATATGGACATACGTTACGTATGGGTTAACGCCAACTATGCATTATTACTTACGTGATAAAACATTGTTATTATTATTGATTTTAGCAACAAATTAAATAAATTCTGGAAAGCCAAGAAAAAGACGCAAGCAACAAAACACAAACTGTTATCGATAATTAGTATTGCCGGCATTACATTTCATCATAAGTGCTGTTATCGCTATTGATATAGTACCAGTGCTGAAAACTGTAGCAGCATTAAATAGGCGGGATTTTCAAATGAATTTCGTCCATATATTTTACAAGTACATATATAAATATAATTAATCATCCTAATTATAACGAATACATCAAAACTAAAATGGAGAAATAAAATTTTACCTTCCACATAGCTGGCAACAATTTTCAAACCATTGATAAAAACTATAAGAAAAAAGTTTTTAGTGGCTACATATTGCATACATATATTTTAAAAGTCTTTAACATTCATAGGACGCTGTTCCAATTATTAATTACATTTTTAACTAAACACATTATAACACATTACAGGCACAATAAATAATAACTTCTAAGTTCCCATCACAAAAATCGCTAACACATAAACTGATAACGCTCAACTACTCTTCCTTCAGACTTAATTGCAGCTCATGTGCCGTACCTCCTGGCCGGAATATGCGCACATAGGCCGACTTAAATCCAAATTTCCAAATGGCTACGGTTGGCAAGTAGTACATAAAGAGATCCATTATCCAAACTCGAAAATTGAAATACCAGCGTACAACTGAATACTTGTGCAAGTATGTAACAATAAACAAACCATAACTAACAATAAAGCGATCCCACAAGCTCAGATCATAGTAGTGTGATGTTTGCTGTGGATCAGGTTTTTCACCTTCAAGATAATCAAAGCTATAGTATTCATAGCCTTTAACGTACGCCAGTCGCTTGGTAAAGAAAATATTTGCTTTKACTGAGAGCATTGTATTTACATGCCAAAGCCCATGAACTAATGCTTTGGTCATATGATAAAATTCCTCATTTGTTTGCTCCAGCGCCGGCCTATAGACATTACGCATAACAATGTCTAAACGCTCCCTGGATTCCGCCCAATTGCTTCCACATATATTGTACTCATCCTTGATGCCCAACAAATAGCCCAGCACCCGCCACATATGCGATGTGGTCTCAAGAAAATCATCATCTTTCAATGATATGCGATGCGCGCCCAGCGTTATAAAGCCGATGAATCCAAACTGTGTCAAGGCCAAATCCTTCTGTGTTATCTGACCGGCACCACGTCGCTGACAAGCCCGACTCGAGCGAGAATGTGCTCGCCTCACGGCCGCAATACTCGTCCACAGTTTGCTGCGCCTGTCCTCAATCGGCTGAAAATACCAGGCGTGTACATGGAAAATAGTGCGCAAATAACGGCGATAGGCAGTGAGAGCATTCGACGATTGGCCTGTGCAGATAAGAACGCGCAATATCGATGGAATGGCAAGAACCGCAATTAAACCAGCCAACATGCCTGAGGTCATCACAAAACGATATTTGCTGAAATACCTCTGGCCGCTATTCATAGATAGTTTATAATTAGATATGCACACAAAGTTTGATTGATTTGTATCGTAGCACCACTCACCGTTTGAATAGTTGCTCATCGTACCATGGCGGCAGGTCCAACTCTGCCTCGCTGTCGCCCTCTTGGCTACCATTTGTTAACAGATTCTTTAAGTAATTCTCAGCACGTTCTTTACTGCCATTCGACATGTTGTCGATTTTGTGTGTACGTGCCACTGAAATAGTTGAAATCAAAGTAAAGCAGACATCATCGATACAATTATACAACAGTCCACAAAAGAGAAAGTTATTTAACAATGCCACATTTCTCACATGCACTTGCAGACGCGTCAGTAACTGGACGTCGTGGAGTGAATTTCTTTGCCTTGCACACAAAAGCAAACTAAGAAACTTATGTACAATTTGCACAATCTGTACAATTTACACTTTAGGCAATTGAAGTGTAAACAATTGAGCAATTGTTCCGCGCGAGAGGCTGGCTTCACTGGTACTGATTGGTACGTCCAATTTTGATAATGCACGACCGGTTTGTAAGCTCTTTAGCTCTGGTTTGTAAGTGTGTGGTTGTGTGTGTATATGTGTGTAACCGAACAGAGCGCTGCGCGCCTACTATTCAAATTATTAGAGATAGGCTTAACTATTTAATGTTTATGTTAATAAAAACGTGAAGAGTTGTCATCTTAAGCAAAAATCACAAAAGTCTGTTCCCATATGGCAGCGTGGCTTTTGTTATCGATACTCATATGACTTCAATGAAAATCATTTCTTAAATCCGTCAGTACAAAAGCTATAAATTGAATTTACTTTTTGAAGGTATTTCACATTTGTTTACAATACATTAAAATGACAATATGATAGTTTTTCAATAAATATAGTTACGGATATTACGCATATATTATATTATATTGTGTATATATCATGTAAAATATGTTGTCATATTGTTTCCAGCCCAGATTAAATAAAAAAATTTATTACAAATCAATTGTCAAGCAATACTAAATGCAAATACATTTAAGCTACTATAAAACAATTCGTCAACCAATACTAAATGAATTACATTTAAACTACGTAAATTTTACTTTAAATCCCATTTAGCCGCAATGTTAAGTGTATCTTTAACACTTGATGTTCTGTTTATGTTGAGTTAACAGAGCTCTTCTGCCAATGTTAAATGTAACTAGACCCAAGCAGGTGTTAACTTGTTTTGCCGATTTGCATTTGTAACTTAAAACTTCGTTGTAACATTTGCATTTTATTGCGTATAAGCCATATTACAATATTGTTCATGAACTTTAGAATATAAGTATATAAAGGACTACATCGCAACACCAAGTGCATACCAACATGTTCAAAACATTTATAATCAATTTGGACTTAACACTAGGCATACTCTTTGCACTTACACATTAAAAATTATTATTGTTATATGTGTGAGTGGGCAAACAAGGCGCAAGTATATAAAAAAGAAAACTTTGTCTATTATACAACAACACCCTTGGAGGGCTTTGCGCCCAATATATCGGATAGTTTTTGCTGATAGCTAGCCAATGAATTGACGTCAGTTATCCCACATGCTTTGCAGGATAATTGCAATGCATTCAGCAATTGCATCTCTGAGAATTGTGTGCCGCGTTCTAGCAACGCATTTAGTATTTCCTATAAATAAAAATGAACATTAAGACTTTATCTATATAATCACTACGGATGCTCTTACATCTGGTTGCATGCAGAGCAGCTCATAGAAATGTTTGGCCTGATCCAAGGCAATTTCCCTAGATGCCGTAATGTTGCTTAGCGTTTGCTGCAATGCAATCGAATTGCGACACATGCGTTGCACTGTAATCTGATCGATGTTCTCCAAGTAGTTGGAAGCCTGTATAAGAATGCGCGCTGCTAGGTGAGCCAATCCCTCGAAAATGTACTGGAAAGAAAAAATGGTTGAGAAAGACAGCCGTTTGCTGTATGCTCATTAGAATTACCCTTGTTTTGCGTGGGTGCAGAGTGGCGCTGAATGCTTCATCCATTTCGGACAAACGTTTCGTTAGTACCAGGACTTGACGATCTGGTTCCAGTATATCATCCTTGGATCCCACATAGCTATTGGTTCTGACGCTCGTCTTGGATCGCAAATAGTGGAAGCATTGCACTCGAACCTCCAGATGCAGTACTAACAGACACGTGTTTGCGAGTTCATCGAATTCCAATGCCAAATTAGTCATCACCTTGATGGTGCCATCCTTGATGGCCACATTTGCCGCACATTCGGGCGTTGCTGTGGTCATGCCATTGACCAATGGACGCCTCAGTTCATTGGCAA